GTAATATAACAACAAGAATAAATACATGAAAGTTGAACAAGTTTTCTTTAAGAGTTCTTCCATATTTCTTCACTATACTTAGAGAGTTTCTTTTGTTTATTTCAAGTTTCTCGGGTTGTACGGTCTTGGGCTAGTGCTAAGCACTATCATAAGTTTTCTCTACATGGTATCAGAGCCATTGTGCTCATCAAGATCGGGGTTTTAAGAGTGCCTGGGTTTACTCTAAGTATGGAATCAACGGGTCGTGTTGTCGGATTGGAAATGGAGATCTTAAACCAATCTAACTATCGGTTATGGAAGTCATGTATGGAGTCATACTTGATTAGTGAAGACTTATGGGATGTCGTCGGCGGTAGTAGCACAACACCACCAAGGGGAGCTGCTGCGACAGCGGAAGCGACAAAGGAGTGGACACGGAAGAATGCCAAGGCGGAGTTTACGTTAAAGAGGTCAATATCCTCAGGAGTATTTGAGCATGTCTCAAGGTGCGATTCTGCTAGTTTCATTTGGCGGGCGTTAGATCAATTGTTCAACAAGAAGAATGAAGCTCGACTACAGTTGTTAGAGAATGAGCTGGCGAATGCGAAGCAGGGGGAGTCTTCTATCTTGGAGTTCTTCATTAAGGTAAAGAACCTTTGCTCTGAGATTAATACTCTTAATCCGGAGGAGTCAATTTCGGAGGCTCGGTTGAAACGGTCTATTATTCGAGGTCTACGACCCGAATATACACCATTTGTGACTTCGATTCAAGGATGGCCTACTCAACCTNCCTTGGAGGAGTTTGAAAATTTACTAGCTTCGCAAGAATCCTTAGTCATGCAAATGGCGGGAGTTAAAGTCCATGATGACTCGGGGAGTGCATTTATAGCTCGGGGACAGCAGAGTTTCAAAGCTAAACCTAAGGATGGTGGTTCAAAGAACAATGATAGAAGAGAAGGATCTTCTATGGGATACAAGAGACGGTTTAAGTGCTACCAGTGTGGGAAACTTGGGCATTTCAAAAAAGATTGTCGAGTCAAGCTAAAGGAAACAAATATGGCGGAATCNAAAAGTCATACTGAAGACAAAGAATGGGGAAGTTGTTTCACGGTGGAGGCTGCATGTCCAAGTATATCTACAACAAAAATTTTAGAAAATGGTTGGATTGTAGATTCTGGTTGTAGCCATCATATTACCGGAGACGAGAAGTTATTTTCAAGTCTTCAGCAAAATAATGGGAAAGAAGCCATTATTACCGCGGATAATTCAGTCCACCAAGTTGAGAAGGAAGGGAGTGTTNTCATCAAAGGAGATGATGGAAGTCCAATCACACTCAAGAACGTATACCATGTTCCTGGAGTAAAGAAGAATCTTCTCTCTGTGGTGAATGCGGTTGACTCAGGTAACTATATTTTGTTTGGCCCAAGAGATGTTAAGTTCTTAAGGAACATTAAAGAGTTAAAGGCGGACGTGGTTCACACTGGAGCACGGNTTAAAGATTTATATGTCTTATCGGCCTCAAACACTTATGTAGAGAAGATGAGTGCCAATGACAATGCCTATATA